AAGCTACACGAGGACTACTTGCGCTAGCCGTACCTAATTTAGCAGTGTAGGACTAGAGAGTAGGCAGCTAGTCATCACCACCCACCGCCAACTCTTGGGCTACTCTTTTTACCAACGAATAGTGGGACTGACCATCACATTATAACACCCCACGGCTGAAAGAGCCAGCATGTTTTATGGGAGGGGGATTCTAACCCGCTACCCACAGATTGCGAATCGAGCTCCCTAACCACCTGGCCATGCCGGGGCCTTTGGTCTAGTCATACTGAAGGTTGTCATATTCATACGAGTTTGCTGGGTCGGATTTTAATTTTAACATCAGTATCAAATTTAAGTCGTCTTGAGTAAACGAGATAAAGGAGAAGAAGTTATGGTATTGTGTGCTACACATTGTACTCCTCTATAGTATACTAGCTAGATGGGTGAAATAAAAACTCGTTTGTAACAAAGGATAGGAAATCGTACTTCATTAAGATAATAAACAATAAAAATACATAAAGGTACTGATATTGATAAGAAAGAATACTGTTTTCAAGAATTATATCAATATGACATTAAATGGAGGATCTAGCCCCCTCATTTCATCCTTTATCATTGTGTCAAGTTGAGCTGATTTGGTACTTTTCCGAAATTACATGGAAGTCCAAACTCCCCACCCCCTCATGACCTTCTTCATGTCATCTTGTATCATTGTGTTAAGTTTGGTGTTGGTTGATCAAGAAATCGGAAGTGTATAAGGAACAGATATGAAATGATGTATATTAGACCGTGTATTTTTTTTCCGGGACACACACCTTGCTTTATATACGTTGTAGATATTTCATGCTTACACCTTTTTAATTTTTCAAGAGCTATAATTCAATACGTGTGAAATTGGGCAAGATTGTGTCCCAATTCAATCATTAATTTTATTTTTTATAGCAGTGTTTGATCGAGAAGGTTATCTATTGTTTCATTGGATATTATATCACATATTTGATTCACCTGTGTTTGTGAGACTGCTTTACAACTGTCACGTGAAGCGCAGGTGCCTCTGAGTTATTGTGATTCAATTTTGTAATTAATTAAATGAAGAAAGAACGCCGATTGTGGTAGCGTGATTTTCTCTGGTTAACTTTTTTTTTCTTTTTAAGTAATTGAATATAATTACGGGAAGTTCACCAGGGAAGTATAGAAATTTTAAAAGAAATATATATTAGACAAAGAAAAGGAAAAACATGGTAAGCTTGCGTACCACAATAGCAGGTTTGACATTCTCGGGCAGATTCATTTCTGACACTGTTTCAGTTACTGACCGTTTAATCTTACTTTTGACTTTTTACCAGTGATTTAGAATTCAGTTTACTTGCATTATTTTTTTTATATACAAATCTTCCTTATATACAGTTTTAACTACCAACAGCAATAATAATTCCACTGGACGATTAGTTCCTGTCTCAACACTAGATCTGTCGTTGATGCAGTGATGCTTTAACTACTTGGTCTATTAGTTGCTATCTCAACACTAGATCTGTCGTTGATGTAGTGATGATTTAACTACCTGGTCTATTAGTTGCTATCTCAACACTAGATCTGTCGTTGATGCAGTGATGATTTAACTACTTGATCTATTAGTTGCTGTCTCAACACTAGATCTGTATTTGATGAAGTGATGATTTAACTACTTGGTCTATTAGTTGCTGTCTCAACACTAGATCTGTCGTTGCTTTAGTGATGATTTAACTACTTGGTCTATTAGTTGCTGTCTCAACACTAGATCTGTCGTTGATGCAATGATGATTTAACTACTTGATCTATTAGTTGCTGTCTCAACACAGGATCTGTCGTTGATGCAGTGATGATTTAACTACTTGGTCTATTAGTTGCTGTCTCAACACTAGATCTGTCATTGCTTCAGTGATGATTTAACTACTTGGTCTATTAGTTGCTGTCTCAACACTAGATCTGTAGTTGATGCAGTGATGATTTAACTATCTGGTCTATTAGTTGCTATCTCAACACTAGATCTGTCGTTGATGTAGTGGTGATTTAACTACCTGGTCTATTAGTTGCTGTCTCAACACTAGATCTGTATTTGATGTAGTGATGATTTAACTACTTGGGCTATTAGTTGCTGCCTCAACACTAGATCCGTAGTTGATGCAGTGCTGATTTAACTACTTGGTCTATTAGTTATTGTCTCAACACTAGATCTGTCGTTGCTGTAGTGATGATTTAACTACTTGATCTATTAGTTGCTGTCTCAACACTAGATCTGTATTTGATGTAGTGATGATTTGACTACTTGGTCTATTAGTTATTGTCTCAACATTAGATCTGTAGTTGATGCTAGTGATGATTTAACTACTTGGTCTATTAGTTGCTGTCTCAACACTAGATCTGTATTTGATGTAGTGATGATTTAACTACTTGGTCTATTAGTTGCTGTCTCAACACTAGATCTGTAGTTGATGCAGTGATGATTTAACTACTTGGTCTATTAGTTGCTGTCTCAACACTAGATCTGTCGTTGCTGCAGTGATGATTTAACTACTTGGTCTATTAGTTGCTGTCTCAACACTAGATCT